TATAATTTTTTAAGTTATATATATGTTGCTTCATCAAGCTGCTCTGGATAAATGAGAACCAACTTACTCCCACCATGTCAAATGGAAAACTACAAAGACAACTAGCTAAACAATTGAACCAATGAGCAAGTCTTTCAGAAGGGAACCCCAGAAGAGTTACACCCACCACCGCTGAAAATTCTGGCTTATCATTTGTTTCTAAAGTCTCACTTCATTAGCTAAAAAGCACATTAGATAAAATAACTCTTAACGAGCTAAAGAAGAGTTCTGGAGAGAAACAGCGGTATCTGTCTTCAGCCCTGCTGTGTGTTCTTTCTGCCTCAGCTGCAGAGAGACTAATGCAACAACACCGAAAGAACCACGCACCTCAGAGCCAGGAGACGTCCAAACATGCTGCATCAGTGGAAACTAGAGGTCTCTGGGAGCCTAGGGAGCATCGCAAACAAAGCGTAAGGCCTGTGCCAGTCGGGCAGAAGGCTTGGAAAAGAGTTAAAAGGTAATTACAGTGGCCTAGTGGGTCATTGTGCTGGCACAGGTGTTAGATGTTATCACGCTGCTGCTGCTGCTGCTGCTGACGTACCACTGATATCTCAATGGCTGATTATGCTTTTTTTTTCTCCTTCTCAATTGTTTATGTAGTTCTGTGTGAGTGTAGTCAAAGAACTGTTGTGGAAAACCTGCACTCTGTTGTGGAGAAAAAAACAAACTCTCACAAGGACTCTTTTTCTTTTATCCAGAAATGATATTAGCTCCTCACACAGCTGAAAGCCTGATCACTTCCCTGACCCTCTTAACTTCAAAACGGTGAACAGACTGATGAAAATACACTGGAAAAACATGATGAAACGTTAGTTTTCAAAATGCTTGTACAGGTGAATGAAAACAATAGAGCACTTATGACACTAGGTAAGGAAAAGTCACATCAACTACACTCTACTCTGGAATACTTGATTGTGATTGGTTGATTGCAACATTGTGAAGTAAAACTTAATATAATGACACTAAACTATATAATCATTCAATGCAACTGACTACAGCTCTAACCAAAGTTTGGGATTGGTAAGATTTTTAAAGTATTTTTTAAAGAAGCCTCTTATGCTCAACCAGGGCTGCATTTATTTGATAAAAACAGTAAAGGCAGTAATATTATGATTTTTTAAAACAATTTTAAATAAACGTTTTGTACAATATATTTCTAAATGCAATTTATTTCTGTATTGGCATAGCTGCATTTTCAGCTTCAGCGTCACATGATCCTTCAGAAATCATTCTAATATGCTGATTTGCTGCTCAAGAAACATTTCTTATTATTATTTATGTTGAAAACATAATATTTTTGTGGAAACCATGATACATTTTTTCAGGATTCTATGATGAACAGAAAGTTGTATTAGAAGAAAGGCATTTTTAAAGTGACATAGAAGTCTTTTGCAACATTATAAATGTCTTAAATGTCATTTTTGATCAATTCAATGCACTCTTGCAGAATAAAATTTTTTTTTTAAAATAATAAAATTTGACTTGACCCCAAACTTTTAAATTGCAGTGTAGCTATTTTCTTTCATAACTTTACACATTCTCTTTCTTCTTACATAATAGAGTTAATGTAACTAGTTTCACATTTGGTTCCTGACCATGCTGTCAGTGTTTATTGGATGACCAGCTGACTGTTCAGTACTTTTTTTATTTTTTACTTTTTTTGTTACGTAAAGAAACTGTTCAAAAATTACAAGAAACTTAATGTGCGCTTTTCTCTTTTTTGTGATTACCATCCAATTATGTTTTCAAGGAAGAAGAAAAAAATAATAATATGGGCTGAAACAACAATGGAGTGAGTAAAACATGTCAAGGTTTTCAGTTTTGAATGAAGTATTCTTTTAACATGGAGATGTACTTGCTACGATTTGTTGGTTTCTTATATAAGGACTTGACTTGTGGCCCTCACTGGGGTAAGGCAGGTCTGATGGGAATATAGGACAAATAAAAAAGGAAGCAACATTCAACAAGGGAACAGTGGTGACTACAGCGCCATCTACTGTCACCCTGTGAAGTACTATGGTAGGGGTGGCGAACGTTGGTCCTGGCGGCCCTGTAGAGTTTTGCTTCAACCCTAATCAAACACACCTGAACACGCTAATCAAGGTCTGAAGGGTTACTAGGAAGCTATAGGCAGGTGAGTTTTAATTAGGGTTGGAGCTGAACTCTACAGGGCTGCGGCTCTCCAGGACTGGAGTTCGCCACCCCTGTACTATGGTAATTGCTCATTAATCAACATCAACATTAATCTAATCTAATAATCTGATAAAACATGCCTGTATGCTCAATCATGCAAGTCTTGACACTTTTCGATTAAAGATCCTGTTTTAGCACATTTGTGCCTGTATAAAGAAGCCGAAAGATATATGAACTAGGAAAAAGTCTGTTTAAACAAAACCGGCTTTCTTCAAAGGAGACACAACATCAATGTAGGGTTTGTGGGGGGTTTTAAGGCCACAAGCCCCTACAGTATTTCCCTCTTACACATACACACACACACAAATCACACAAACACACTCACAAAAAAAAGCAACCAGAAAAAGCAGCCTCCTTTGTGAATGCCTATCACCAATCTGAGCTTCCTCCTCATGTTTCGGTGTCTAAACACTGGAACTATTAGAAACAGTTTCCTGAAAGCTCTAGTCACATGATGGTTCTTGGAAAACACTGTGAAAAGGCTTCCACCTCTATTCGGATCCAAATGAGTCCCAGTTTCATGCCAGGCTTGATTTTGCCAGGCCACAAGACAGACGACCATTTCAACATTCTGTTCAGCATGCCATAAGAACCAGGAGGACAGGTTGTCCAAAGTCTCTTTCAGGCTTTGGAAACGCTGTTTTGATAAAATTGTACAGTAGAACTTTGCTGGAGCTGCCAATGTCACTCTTTTTGCAAAATCAAAGTGCACCTCTATTTTATTTCCAGGTTTGATATACAGTACAGAACATACTAGCACTTACCTTAATGACACAAAACTGTACTGTGATGATACCATGGTAATGTATCAGATGGGAACACCATAACATTTTGATATATACCATAGGGCTAAATGATCACGTACCATCATATTTACATGTTCCTTCAAAGAATACCATCGTACTACCATCCAAATTATCATGGTATTACCATGTACAAAACAAGGTGGTATTATAGTACTTTTTATAAGGAATGTGTAGCAGTCTTTATATTGTTAACTGAAACTATTAAAAATATAGCTGAAATAAAATATAAATATTAAATGAAAAAGTAAAAGTAAAAAAAAAAAAAAAATTGTTGCCTTGGCAGCTAACTCTTAAGCTTAAGATTTAAGCTGAAGTACTAAAAATACTAAAACTGAAATAAAGTTACAAAGAAATACTTAAAAAAGATATCTAATAAAAATGTCAAAAGCACATAAAATTACTAAAACTAGAATTAAATCGAAAATTGAAAATTCAAATTCACTGCAAGTCGCCTTGAATAAAAGTGTCTGCCAAATGAATAAATGTAAATGTAAAATATTAATAAATAATAGAATATAAATAATACTAAAACAACAGTGGAATGCATTGTATATTAAAATTATTTTCAAGTTATAGCTGACAACCTACAGATATTAAAAATATATTTTCAAATTTTTTCTATTTTCTAAAATTAACATTGTAATGTACAGTACGAAAAAAAAACTAATTTAGAGATTCTTTTTACATTTAACAACTATAAGATTCTTAAAGGTGTCATATGATGCTGCTAAAAAGAACATTATTTTGTGTAATTGGTGTAATGAAATGTGTTTATGCGGTTTAAGGTTAAAAAAAAACATTATTTTCCACATACTGTACATTATTGTTTCTCCTCTATGCCCCGCCTTTCTGAAACGCGTTGACTTTTACAAAGCTCATTGTTCTGAAAAGCGAAGTGTGCTCTGATTGGCCAGCTATCCAGTGCGTTGTGATTGGTCGAATACCTCAAGCGTGTGACGGAAATGTTACGCCCCTTACCATTCTTGGATGCCGTGTCCGGAGCTAAGAGACAAAAACATTAAAACCCATTATAAACGAGGCATTTGTTGCATCCAGTGGGGACATAATTACGGATTATTATGACTTATACTATCTTTTTACGCATTGCGTTGCATCGAGCCACGTAAACATAAAACCATGTCTGCATTTGTGATCGGAGAAATGACAAACAACAAGTGCTACTCTACACTGCTCAAAACTCGCGTTTGAATCGTCAGTGGCAAATCCTTTAAATATTAAAACTTACTTACAGACTGTGAGTCAGAACAGCCGGCATTGTAGTCTACTCTACCAGGATCAGGAAACAGTCCTCCATAAAATGTGCTGGACACATCTGAATATTTGGGTTAAACTGTTCTGGAACAGTGTTGTAAATACAACTTAACCACTGATTTCTAGTCGTGTCCTCTTTTGGAAGGCCAAACAAAGTAGTTTCGCTTTCACAACGAAACATACAGCGTCTCCACAACATGGCGGCGGCAACAGCGAGAATAAAAGTTACGCCTTCTTTCTTTGCGTAAAGAGCGTGTTAGAACGAGCCGTTTTAGGTAGGCGTGGCTGACTTAACTTTTATAAAGAATATCTCTTTGGATTTGAGACTTTAGTCTTTGCAACTTTACAGATCTTCTTTATGCACCAAGAGCTTGTAACACTCCAAAGAGAAAGGAAAAAGTGAAATCGCATCATATGACCCCTTTAATGTTTTTAAAGATTTACTTTAAGCTAATGTTAGATGATGGCAAAGGTAATCTAAAATTTATACATTGGGGAAATGAGCATGTACAATTAAATATCAACATCAGCCGATAACCGATATGGTACCGAAATATTGTGTAGTACTTCTTTTCATACTTTTTGGTATGAATGCAGCAGATTTATCGGTGAGGAGCATATAAATGTGAGAACTGTGAACACAATTCCTTTGCTGTATACAGAGCTATGTCAGATACCTGTAAACTGGCTGCATTTCACGTGCAATTCCAATGACAGCCTCAGCAGGGAAATGGTTAAAATCTTGGAAGAGGTCTCTGATGTTGTTTCTGAATTTGAGGTCCAGGTCCAACTGAACAATGCGCTTCAGTTCTAGGGGGCGAAAGAGAAAGTAAAGCAAATCTGTATGAAATTAATGAACACCAAAATAATCACATCCTACAAGTTGTGTGCAGTGTTACATGCAATAAATCAGATATACAATAATGTTTCTTCGTGTACACTAATGCAGAAAACCCGTAACTTAGTTGAATTAACAAATGATGGGACATCATCATCTGGAGGGGTTTTCTCACGTCAGATGGCCTCACGGTCTTCGTGTGAGCACACTGGACAACAAAGCCCTCAAGACAACATTCTGGATGCACCATTGTGGAGCAGAGGCCACACACACAATGACACACATTCGGAAAGCAAAGCATAGGGGGCCAAAACTATGCTTGTTGTAGTTAGAACAATGAAAAGAGAGCGGCCAGCCGGAGCTGTTTAGTTGGTCAGGCATTTCACCCTGACATCTCTCCAAACAAGCACCGGAAACTGGACGAATCAATATGAACGATCTCAGCACTCCCCTCCAAACACACAGGCTGACTACAAAACACTTCATGAGCAATGATAAAAGCAGGACAAGTGCTGAATTTGTATGAAACAGGAAGCAAATCTATAGTGTATGGAGATTAAAAACAAAACTTAAATGCAACTTTTTTATAATGTTCAAATAATTTATCCTATCCCAGTTTAACGAGCTCTGCACTTTTTTATTAGGCTAATACTTTTCAGCAAAAGTAACAGTAAAGACATTTATAATGTTATGAAAGATTTAATTTCAAATAAATGCTATACTTTTGATTTTTCAATTCATCAAATAATCCTGAAAAAACTGTATCACAGTTTCCACAAAAAAGCAGCACAACTGTTTTCAACATTGATAATAATAATAATAATAATAAATGTTTCTTGAGCAAATCAGTATATTAGAAAGATTTCTGAAGGATCATGTGAAGACTGGAGTAATGGCTGCTGAAAAGCTTTGCCAGCACAGCAATCAATTATATTTTACAATATATTGAAACAGAAAAAAATACTAAATTGGAAAATGATTTAACAATATTTTTTGATAAAATGCAGCCTCGATAAGCAAATGATCTGTTAACATGAGCTAATGCACTGTGAACTAATGTGAACAATGAAAAATTGCATGTTTATTAACAAATTTTAACAAAGATTAATAAATGCTGTAAAAAGTTAGTTCTGCATTGCTAATGCATTAACTAATGTTAACAAATGAGAACTTACTGTTAACCATAATTATCTTTTCTACGGCACATTATTTTGTTCTGATGTGACTATATTTAGCATATAGCACTATTAAAAACAACAACAAAAACAGGCAGTGTAGCCTTATAATATCACCCATGATGTTAATAATTTGCCATAATAAAAATAATTATCAGCTATTATCACCACCCAACATTTTTATAACAAAGTTTTGCAGTTGTAAATAGTTAGTATTCAGTTTGGTGCCGAAAGTGGTGCTGAAACTTCTGAAAATGAAAAAGCAATGAAATGATCAAATCCCAAAGGCCAAACTCGACTCCCCACTTTGAACGAGGGCCATTTTCACCATCCAAAACAGAGTTGCTTCCAAACAAAAACTCCAAAAAACAAAACCCATGCGTCACAGTACACCAGATCAAAAGAGGAACAATCGCTTTAGGCAGGATGAGCCACAGAGGCTTGGTGTGCACCGGAGGGCATGTTAGCAAGCAGGTTAAATAGGCCTTTGAAGCATTAAGCACTGCACTAATTCATCTCATTGGGCCTCTGCAGCCTGAAGCGATAATGCCTTTCAAGAAACGGGCCCACATGAAGTTCACCAGCTCCATCATGGCCCAGGGTGCTGGAGATATGCTTATTGAGCCTTATAAACACAATTTCTAGTTTTAGCCGAGTACATACACATCTAGGACATTCACAGCACGTTTACAGGCAAGAGAACACACAGTTGAACATGCTCAAAATTAGCCTTGTCATCTAAAATGACTAGGGGCGCCTAAGCTTGACATACTTTTAAAAGAGTGGCTGTGTTTTACAGATGTAAGACATTTGAACTAGCTTTTAACAGCATCATCTTGGGAAATATTTGACTCTTTTAGGTTTTCCCTTGTTTTTAGATATAATCCTCCTGCAAATGTACTGTGTATTCACAATTGAAACCCTATTAAGGTGAATAACAATACAAAGTAATCCAAGTAATCTACTTTATTTTCCTCACTAAAAGTATGGAGCAGGTGGAATTCCATCTGTTCTCCGTGGATTATGGCTTTGTCGACCTTTCTCAGTGAAAACAACAGCATGTGATATAGGCTGATATAGGTCAACCTCTTTTTGAGATTAAAACCTGGTCTTATCTGGCCATTCTCCATCAGCAAGAAAAATATCTCAAGTGGTAAAAGAGTAAATGCAATGGGGTGGTTAAAATCTGGGATGAAAGATCATACCCTATAGAAATGGAAACCTTTTTCCTGGAAGATTTCCTGGAACATTTTCATAATCATGTGGAAGGTCATGCAGACACATGGAGTCACATGACTGACAATAGGATCACTGACAACTGTAAAAAATGGTATTGCATAAAGTTTAGATACATGCATGTTTAAATTCTGACAGTAACTCCTTAGTATAGTGATTCAATTTTAGAGAAGTCAAATGGCAACATGGTCTGACTGCCTTAGATATCACAGATGTTTCTTTTTAAGTATATCAAAGGTCTACCTTGTTCTTCAAAGCATATAACAGAATTCAATAGTTGTTCAAACACCTTTTGAGTTTGAATGTTGATAAAACAGTATCTCAGGTGTTTTTTTTTCGAATCACCTAGATATGGTTTGTTTTGATATGTTTAGCCTCTCCCTTATTTTCCAAACATACAGAGAAAGAAAGTAGTAAATGTTATATTTTGAGTATTGTGATTGTGGTCTGCAACTATATATATAATGAAACACTGTCCTAACCAAACACAACATGACAAAACAAGTTTGATAACTAAAACTATTAAAAATTGTTTTTGTTAACTGAAATACAGCTCAAATAAAATTAAATATAAATATTAGATGAAAAACTTGAATGAAAAAACGTAATGAAAATGAGAAATGTTGCCTTGGCAGCTAACTGAAGTAAAATAAGTTTTTGTCGACGAACTAAAATGACTAAAACTAAAACTGAAATAAAAATTAAAGCTAAAAAAACTAATAAAAATGGCATAAGCACATAAGATTACTACAACTTAACCTAAAATTTAAATGAAAACTGAAAATATAAAGATAAAAACTGATTCAAAATATTAATAAATACTATAAATAACACTAAATGTTATTTAAAAAATAATAAAAATATATTTTATCTCTGTGGTGTCGTGCCAGATAGCCCTGTCAACACTAAAATGTCACTGGACCTCACCTTATGCATATTAAAAATCAATCACAAGTTTAGAATCAGATATTTCACAACCATAAAAAGTGAGAAAAAAAGTCCAAAAATTAAATGTATGTGATTTTAGCTTTATGCTCTTCAGCTGCAATACTAGTAATGTTTACTATGGTTCACAAACAGGCAGAACTGTTCTGATTTGTTTTGTGATTGATTGCCATTCTTGTCATTTCATGTCTGGTTAGTACACAGTGTTAACCTGTAGAACAGCTTGTGTTGAAACCTCCAATAGATCAATGACATCAAAGACATCACTGGGAATAAACATTTAAATATCTACCTTTGATCTGTTTACCAGCAGACACAATAAAAACAACTGCTGAAATACCTCAAAGTAGCAGACTTTGTTGACAAACACATTGCTCTTGAGGCTGCAAAAGAGTCTTAAAACATAGGCTTTCTGTTCCCTCACGAGCTGCCGAACACATGCCACTGCTTCATAATAAAAGAAGATCCACAGCCACTTGAAACAAGGGCCAATTATTTTCACAGCTCCTGTTGTCACTTGGGCTAAGCAGTTAATATACCAGCCCACCTCCAGGCACAATGTTCCTTTAATGAACAGCCAAATCCCTCACAGCAATATGACAGAACATAAAACTAGAGCATTTATTTAAAAAAAATCACTGGGCATGTGCTAATTTTCCCCCCACTCAGGTTTCAGAAGATCCATCATTATGGACTGAGCACCTAATCTTGCTCTTTTAGACCTAATTTTTACTCAGTGGGCCAGTGGTCTTCCAGGGATCACGGTCTAAATTGAGACGGATGGTGTCAGTCTCTTCCTCAGGGCTCACTTATTCAGCCTCTCAGCGGGCCGGTATTGACCGCCCTGTTGGTAAAGAGTCGATGACCGGAATAAGCCTGGCGGGAGAGACGGGGAGAGAGTCATGCAAGCAGACAGACCTCCTACGGATGTACAGAGAAATCAGAGTAATCAGGAGGGAATTCCTTGAGGTGGGTTTGAGTAGCCAGTCAGTGGGTCAAAAAAGTGAATGAAAGACCACGGTTAAAGAGATAATTCATCAAAAAACATGAACACTGTTCATTTGTCACACAAGGTGAACAGCCATGGTCATTATGAACTACTACTGTATGGAAAGTGAAGAGCCTTCAAAATAACTTTCACAATTATTTTTTCATATGGGCTTGGACCAAAACGAGAGTTAATAAGGAGTTAATTTAGTTGATACTGAGATTTATTTAGAATTACAATTTGAACAACACATGAAAGAGGATTCAGAAGAACAAAAAAACATAAATGGAGAAAAAAAATGAAAAAAAGTGAAATGGTAGCACTTTACAATAAGGCTCTCCATTGATTAATGCATTAGGTAACTAACACACAACCATTTTTACAGCATTTATTAATCTAGGTTGTTAATGGGTCAAAGACATTAAGATGTCCACATCAAAAGAAATTTACAAAAGTGATTTTATGTCCATAGAAAGCACATTAAATGTAAGTAAAGTTAGCGCTGCACGATTAATCGAAATTAAATTGCAAAGGCGATAAATCGCGATTAGGCAGAAGCTGCGATTGTCATGCGTATCTTTCAGTGAAGCACGGTTCTGTGATCAGCAGTAAATCTCCATCCGAAGGC